CCCCCCCCGCGACATCGGCTAACGTTGCTGTTGACCAGGATACTTGCTTGATTTTCCAGGACAGGGCAACAAAGAGATAGCATTGCTGCCTCGTTTCACTGTTTGAAGTTGATGGAGTACATACTTTGTACCACCGGAGTACCAATCACTACCTTTATCTATAATTCAGCGTCGTCTCGAATGAGTATAATAAGTTAACCCCTCCTCCTCCCCGGGAACTTCCCCCCCTCTCCGTAGGCACTCATAATTCCAAGCTTTCCCTTCTCTGTCTTTCTTCTCTCTTACACACTCACACCCTCAATTCTATTCCACCCTCTTTCTCTCAGTTATTATCCTTCCTCCCACATCTACAATGGTCATCAGAGGCACTCAATTAGATGGCGTCGCTCTGGTCGTCGGCGTAAGAACCTTCCCTCTCCCCCACCACCTCAAACAAATGAATTCCCCCTCCCAAACTAACCTCCCATCAATCCAGTCTGGTCGCGGCATCGGCCAACAAGCCGCCTTCTCCCTAGCCGAAGCAGGCGCCCGCGTCATCGTCTTCGCTGACATGAACACCGAAACAGCCACTGCCTCCGCCGAAGAGAGCAAGCAATACGCCACGAACCCCGAATACCAATCCACCCACTTCACCGTTAACGTGACCGACCAAGACGGCGTGCAAGCCATGGTTGACTTTGTCGTCGAGAAGTTCGGACGGCTGGACTATGCCGTCAACGCTGCAGGGGTGAGTCCCATCCACCATCATCATCCATTAAGGATATTCCACAACAACCTAGCGCATGGTTCTCTTCCCACCAAGCTAACTCAAAAAAATCCAACTAGGTCGACAACGGCCTACACACCCCCTTCGCCGACACCGACATCGACAACTTCGACCGCGTCCAGACCATCAACGCCCGCGGTATGTTCCTCTGCTGCCGCGCCGAAGCCGCCGCCATGCGCAAGCAGACCTCACGCACCTTCACCAGCCGCACCGGCACCCGGGACATTGGTCGCGGCGCCATCGTGAACGTCTGCTCAGCCAACTCCTTCGCCGGACTGCCCGGGAAGGGATCGTATACCGTCTCCAAGCACGCCTGCATGGCGGTGACGAAGATGGTTGGTATGTTTACCCCCTCCCCCAATACCTTATACACGATACTATCCTATTCAATCCAACTCCCGTTATAAACATATATTAATATTATCTGGTACAGGACTGGACCACTCCGCCGAAGGCATCCGCTGCAACGCCGTATGTCCCATCTGGGTCCGCACCCCTCTCCTCGACGTCGAGTTGGAGCGGAACCCGCAGGTGCGCGCGGAAATCGAGGCCGTTATACCCATTAAGCGTGCGGCGGAGAGTGATGAGGTGGGAGATACGATTGTTTATTTGCTTAGTCCGTCGGCGAGTTATGTTAATGCTACGAGTTTGTTGTTGGATGCGGCGGTTACGGCGACGTTGAGGTTTCATTGATTAGTATTTATATTTTCTGTCTGGTTGGTAGTTAATAGAAGTGAGAGGGTTATGGTATACGATGTATTCGATAAGGTGAATGAGTAATAGTCTGTGTGCAGTGGGTAATGGCTCGAATTGTTGGACGTGGTTTGTTATAGTACGCTGAATGAATGGTCGATTCCCGAATATATAAATCAAGTAGAAGTCTACGTAGTCCAATACATAAGTGCGTGTTAATCCCTTTTAAAGGTTTACTACGGTGTTGAGTTTTTTGACGCGTACTGTAAGACGCGGGAGCGGGATGTCCCGAGACTTTTGAACACCTGTTGTAGGTCCGGGCCTTCCCGAGCACAATCTAAAGTAACCAACAACCGCGTGGCTCTCACGGTCGGGCAACCCGTCCCAAAATGTCGTACACAAGATTTTTACAATAAAATCTTAGTTAGGTAATTTCATCTATAAGAATTCTACAAGGCTTGTTTATAAAAGTACATGTTTTCTTTTATGACTTTTCGAATTAGTTATCATGTAACGTAGCCGTTAAATGAATTCTATGTATTTTGATTGTAACCTATCATAGTATGTATACAAATGGTTTTGGAAAGATGGCAAGAAATACTCATTAACTTATTCAGGTAGTATTTAGATGCTGAGTAGAGAGTTCGAGGGTTTTTAACTGTACCATTTAGATATAATAAATATAAAACGAGCAGCTTGTAAATGGCATTACGAAATAGGCCGCGCGACCTTTTATTACGTCGAAGTTAGTAGTCCTAAGGAACAACAACTGACCAGACCGACCGGAAGGCGGTAAAAATACGTGCCCGCCTGGGCGGAAGCTGAAAACACACACACACACACACACACACACACATACAACAATTCCTTAACGCCCGGCGGCTAAGCCGAATGTGCAACTGTCACTGATTTATCAACACAGGTTCTAATGTTGTAGCTCCTCCGAGTTCAACCACATATCCTTGAATGCTGAACAGGTGTCCTACAGATTGTTTAAGGTCTTACAAAAAAAGATGGTATGACTGAAAGCAGTCCCATGTCATTGACTTGCGAATAAGTTCCGTCTCATAGCCTTCGCATCTCCCTATCCAAGTTTCAGGAGTGTTTTTTTCATCGCCGTCAACTTGCACGCAAAGAACTTCATTGTAGCCTCCCCGATCGGTTGGTCAGCCCCCGTCAACTCTAGGAGTAGAGACTAGACGAATCGCCCCTTGAATGTTGCCTATGCGGCTCGAAAGCTATCCAATCTGGATATCTGCTCAATCATCTCAGGCTCGGAATTGTTATCCTCTAAGCCTGTGGCAATGTCGTCCTCACTGGCCGCAGTCTTGGTTGATGTTGGGGCACTGGAAGCAGATAGTCCTACAGAAACCTCGCTTTTATTTAGATGATCATGCAGGTTAGGTGTGACAGGAAACGGCCCATTCCAGCTTTGAGAAATTTCGTTGCTTAAATTGGCAATGGGAGCCCCCAGGCCTGCGGGCGAGTCAGGACAGGCCATTGGAACTAACTCAGCCAACCATGCCTCCCAGAATTCAGGCGACGTATATGGTTGTAAGTCCATGCTCATACTGATTTCCAACTGAGGAGTCAACTGTGATAGCAGCGAAAGATCATCCTCTGGCGTAAGTTGGTCCAGATTCGAGTTCTCCATATTGTCAGCCATTGCCATCAATGTCCCGAAGCCCTGAGATTGAGAATTTTGAGACGCCAAGTTTAGATTGTCAATAAGCATGTTTCCATAGAAGTCTTCTGGGAAGATAGCCGCAAGGTCGGTAGGTGAAATAGCCATGTTCAGAAAATCTGTTTCCACGTGGCCCGTCCGAAGACCATCCACTCGATCTAGAGGGCTCTTTGCACGTGCGGTCGTGTGCTCTGCGCCACCTCTCTTCATTAATGGTGGATAAGCGGGCGACGGCATATCAACGCTTTTGTACGTAGGCGACGGAATCGAGCGAGATGACAGCAACTGGTCCTCATCGCCGGAGCGAAGTAGGTTTGAGACATAACGCATAACCTGGCGAAAGTTGGTCGAATCATGCCCTCCTTGTGCTGGATTCGGCCAAACCACATTAATTAACTCAAGCTAGAGAACATTTAGTCTGAATAGATTAAGATTATGAAGGAATATCTGTTACCACAGATTCGGCCACATTTTCCCGACTGCCCTGGTCGTTATGCAGTTCATCCAGAGCTCGGCTGAAAGCCCGCTGCGATTAAGTTAATAATGATGACAACATCCAGTGTAAATGTAGCTGACCGTTTAGTCCTCGATTTTTTGCTTCAGTTCAGCCTGCATTGTCTCCTGGTTTCCTAAAATCTGGCTAGAAGGGGGAGGTCCCAGTACCAGGTATCTCCAAGCTCAGTTGAGAGAAAGCAGTCACTCCTGAACAGACGGAATGATCCGCGGTCAAGGAAAACGTATTGCCACACGGCCGTTGACTCGGAGATATGGTTCATCTCACAAGGCTTGAGGGACCCCTGTCAAAGCAAGCCCAATAGTGCGAACTTGTTCATTGGTTCTTTCCCCTAACGAACATGGATTCAACGGTTTGGACTCAAAGATGCTCTCTCTCACGATAGCTAAAGGTAGACGGGGTATTTTTGGTTGTCATAGGAATCATCTGCAGTGATTATTGACAAACCAGTGGTTCTATATGGTCTGACCCTGTAGAGACAAAGAGAAACGAGACGGTCGCCAACGCGATCTGGCCTTATTAGGTGCAGCCGTCAGTCTATCTCTTGTCAGCCTTCCAACCAAAGTGACCCCATATTATTTCGAGATCGATGTGTCTGGCTGTTACAACCCATCAGACTAACCGGATCTTAGTGGGCTGACTGTCTTTGCATCTCTATACACTCAACACACCACTTGATTGCAGCCACAATCGGATGACTGGGCGCCATCAAAGCTATATTCTGGAACGTCACAGGCGCAAGCTGTGTCCGACTCAATGCAACTACAGGGTTAATTTAGACTTCTCAGTGAAGTGTCTGAAAACAGGGACAAAACTCCGGGTCCGGTTCGCCCTTCCTTGCTAGTAGAGATGAGTCGATCGCTCTTACAGGCGGAGGTTAAAATCCGGCCGTAGACAAACACTTGTGTACAAAGCAGCCTTCCAAAACGAGGAAGAGGTTTTTGTTGTGATATGAGGCTGGTGCAGATCAGGAACCAAGCCGAACCATCGGAATTAATCCCGAAGTATGTATACGAAGAATCAACTTGATTGGAAATCAAGTTGATCTTCTCGTTGTATATATAGCCTCATGTTTCCCTCTGAATAATAATAATTAAGCTTCCTTTGAATTACAACAAAAACCAAAATCTGGGAATCCGGGAATCCAGGAGCCGATGGGTAGGAAACGGGCAAATCGTCCGACAAGACTACTGTACCGTTCTAGCTCTCGTGATGAGCTTTACGATAATGACCAGGTAGGGTTGTGTTGTGTTCGGCAGACACAAAATTCCCCGCTGGTGCTTGCTGGTGCTCGGTGGTGCTCGGTGGTCAGTTTGCGAGACAGAAGTGCCCCATCATGTCGACGTCTTTTCACCGCGCATCAAGACCCGAATCCTCCAATCCTGCGTTGGCTTTGGCGCAGCATGACTCGGCTCCACGATCAAGAGGAATTGGCCAGGCTAAATGCGATGATGCATTTCCAAAAAGTATGATGGTAACTCTTTGAAGTGCCTAACCATGGTCTTGTGAGACCACCCAGTGGAGGAGCTACATGATTTGCAGACCTGGGGTGGGGGAATTGGGTGAAGAATGGCCAAAAGATGGTGAAAGGAAGGGGGAAACGGTCAAAAGATTCGCCGAGTAGACATGGTCAAGTAAAGTTGGTATACCGTTGTCTTTGGGAACGCGTGTGCCGCGGGGATCTGCTGGGGCGTTGATCCGTTCAGAGGACGCAAATTTACCCAGGCGAGCACGTCTCTTCACCGCCCTCTGGTCCGGCCCTCTGGTCAATCGTTGTTGCCTTGGGCCAAAAACATTTGCTGGGGCTCGGGAAGGACCGAATTTAGTCCTTTTCGGGAAGTTTGTTTCAGGGGTTCAACTTGATGCCCGCCTGGAAAATCCGAATCCTCACCGAACGAATATTTTTGCCTTCAGGTTTCGACCTCTGGGCTTAGGGCGTAAAGCAAGAACCATTGGCTTCTATATATGCTATTAGCCTATTACCATAGATAACTACAAATTTGAGCCTTGTCGCTTGTGATTGATGGTTATGCGTATCAATAGTCTTGTATGTGAACGGTCACATATATATATACAGGATATATATAAACATCATCAACTCGAGAGCATTGAGTAGTATCGACCTTTTTGACCGGCCCAGGAGACATGTACGAATCAACAGACCCGCAAATTCTAGACGTAACCATGCTACTCCATGAGATGAGTAAATGGTATAGTAGAGGGGAGAAATGGGTTGCAGCATGAATACTTGGAAGAGTAGAGGCACACGCCGCGTACTAAGAACGCCCTAACGCCCAATTTCTGCTGCCCTCTGTGCTCGATAAATTGTACCGACCAAACACAATGACATATTGGGTCCCAACTTCCTCAGCCAACATATCACCCTGCGCTACAGGGGGGGGGGGGTTCTCACAATAGGAAGATAAGCGATCTGCAGGAACCTTGCCGCAGACGGATAAAGGTTGTTTGGCTCGGCCAACAGCTAATAGGAAGGGCACCATGCGCGGCAGGCTGCCCCACCATTCGGAACAATTATCGCGGAGAGTTAATTTGCGGCCGCGTGTCTTGACTCGACTTGGGTTACTGCCTCGTGCGACCGGAGACGTGGTATATTAACTGCCACAGCAGATCGATTTTGGAGGGTGCATTCAACGACCGCGACGGCATTCCATTGTCTTTCTCATCCCCTGCAACAAAGAAGGTTGTCAATACATCGGACTGCTTCGACCGCCGCATGGGGCATGCTCTTACCGGAGTGATCCCGCGGACCTTTACGAACCCAATGCG